GGCCAGCTAGCCCACCAGCCTGCTTGGTTACCTCCCTGGCAGGAGGGCAACAGGTGCAGGAGACCCTTGCATGGAGTGCAACTTCAGTTCTGCCTTACTGTGGCCCAGGTCTGGAGCCACATGAGTGGCCTATAGTTGAGGTTTTGGGAGGTGCGTACCTCGCCATTGGACCCAATACTGATCTTACCTTGAGGTCCCTGCTCAGAGGAAGTTCAAACCATCATCTCCATTTACAAAAAGAGAACCTGGGGCTGGTGAGAAAACTCAGCAGACTAAACACCTGCTTAGGCAAGTACAGGGATGGGGGGGAGGGTGTACAATCCCAGGTACCACAAACTGCACTGGCCCTGCCCCAGGTGCTGAGCAGGCCACCAACTCTGGGCGTGGTGGTGCACACTTGTAATCCAGCACTGGGGAGGCTGAAAACAGGAGGATCACTACAAGTTCAAGCTGCATAGTGAGACCCTGAACCAAATACATTAAAAACAACAACACCACCAAGTAGAGAATCTGAGGCCCAGAGAGGTGGGTGCCTCTTACTCTGGGAGATGGCTGAGTTGGGTCAAAATGTGCACACAGCCCTGGAGGGGCTGCCCTGTGCTCCAGCTCAGGGGCTGAGTCCTCCCCTCTTGCTCCCATGTCCTCAGAGCTGGGTGGCAGCAACACTTGTCTCTTGCCTACTTTTCAATAGCAACATCCTCAGAGATGAGCCACCAGCTCCAGAGAGGCACACAGAGAAATAAGAGTGCCAACGGGACCCTAGAAATCTCTGGACCTTATCATGAAGGCAGCCGCCTTTGATGAGGTCCTGTATCCATGGCCTTAGCAGCCTCTGCCAAGCCAGGGTCAAGTTCACTGTCAGGGCAGTGTGGGCCCCGGCCACCCGGCACACATGGCTGGATTTCAGGGCTGGATTGTCCTCTGCAGTGACCTCATGAACATAAATAACGCCCAGCAGGCTTTGAGGCTGGACTTCAAAAACACTAATGAGTTTTTGCTGTAAGAAAACATGTTGGCCATAAACTACTTTTGTCCCTCTAAGAGACCCTGGACACTGACTTTGCCGGGAGAGAGAGTGGGAAGGGAGAGCCAGAAAACTGGGCAAAGACAGAGAAGTTGGGGGAGAATAGAGTGGTAGAGAAGAGACAGAGGGGGAGGGAAAGTGGGAGGAGAGAGACAGACAGATAGACAGACAAGACAGACAGAGACAGACAGAGACAGAGACAGAGAGAGAACCAGAAGGACAGAGACAGACCCAGAGAGCTCACTGGCACCTCCATCTGGATTACTTGCAGGGTAAATAGTGGACAGGAGGCTTTTGCAGAGGTTGTGGGGGTACTTCTCTGGGGACACTTCTGCTGACAGTGGAGAACTAGCCTCATCTGTGTTCTTTACACCTTAGAGGTCAGTCTAGGACTCCCGATCTGCAGAACCAGAACTTATACCTGGGCAGGATCCAGGGCTCCTACACACAACCTGCAGACCATGTGTTATGCCTGTCCCAGCCACGGCCCACCTCCTCTGCTGAGGCTCCAGGCTGATGTCCAAACCCCTCCCACCCTGGGGGCCCCTCCAGAGCAGCATCTCAGCTAGTGCAGTGGGTGACACAATGTCTCTTAATCAGATGTGCACAAGCCCTAGCCCTGGGATTTGGGAATGCGCTGTTATTTGGAAACAGGGTCTTTGCAGATGCGATCAGGCTGAGATAGTCAGACGGGCTTAGGGTGGGCCCTAAGTAGAATGTCTGTCCTTATAAGAAGAGAAGCCATGCAAGGTACAACAGAGGAGGGGCAGTGTGATGACAGAGACAAGAATGAAGCAGCCACAAGCCAAGAGACATAGAGGCCCCGGAGGCTGGAAGGTGCTCTTCTAGAGCCTTCAGAATGACCTTGATTGCGAACTCTGGACCCCTAGAACTGCAAGAGGAGAAGCTTGCACTGTTCTAGCTGCCCATATATGGGCGTGTGTTAGGGTGCCACAGGAGACACACACAGCTGGACTCTGATCCCTAGTAGTCACCCCCACTGCCTCCTTGGCAGAGCTACCTCCCAGGATGGGCAGCATCCCATGCCACGCAGCTGTCTCGAATAATAAACCTGACCCCTCAGGAAAGCCAGCCCAGGGCTCCTCTCTGTGTGAGCACACGGCCTCTTTACCCAGAAGCCCCACAGCATGACACAGCCACTAGTGTTCCAAGGGGAACCCAGCCTGTGTGCTCGTGGCCTCTGCAAGGCTGCCTGGTCACAGCCACAGAGGTTGGGTTGGAAGGTGGCTCGGGAGGTGGCTGGTGTCCATCCGGGGGTCATCTTGCTCTCCTCCACTTTTTTTTGTCCCCCTGCCTCCCTGGCCAGTCTTTGAAGCAAGGCTTCCTCCATGGGGTGTGATCTGGACCCCCAGGGATGTGTCTGGGGACACTTTTGCTTTCTATCATGTGGGTCAGGCAGGTGTTAGGGTACCCTTAAATATGGAGTGTCTCTAGTTCTGAGGCTGAGAAACCAGCTCCACAGCCAATGGGTCTCAGTTGGGGGGCTGTCATTGAGTGTTTGAGGATCTGATAGATTCTGTGGACTTAGTCCATGGACATAATCCTGGGAGTTTGCTTCAGCTTGGGTAAGATTGTGCAACTGGGCTCTCTTGAAGACTCTCACTTTTTGAAAACTGCAAACTCTCTGGCTCCAAGTAATCTGAGGCACCCCAGGGGACAATTCATTAACCAGAGCGGCCCTCTGCCCTGAATCAGACTGGCTGCAGCCCCATCACTAATCTCTCCAGCGTGTGCCCAAACAGTCCTTTCCCAGATCCCAGTTCTGTCCACTTCTGGGAGGCCAGGGGATGGGGGCAGTGGAGTAGTTGTTCACTGTGTGGGTCACAGAGGAAAGCTTAGGGGTTTCTGGGGGGCCCCTGGAAAACACTCATGATGAATTTAGGCTCCAGCAAAGGGGAGGAGCAACCCAGTTTCTGTCACCTGAAAACCTGAACTGTCTTTGCCTTCAGCACAATCACATCTTCCTTTTTTTTTTTTTTTTCCAGTACTTGGGATTGAACCCAGAGCCTCTCATATGCCAGGCTCTCATATTCTACCATTGAGCTATAGTCCAACCCTTTTAATTCTTTCTTTTTTTGGCACCAGGAATCGAACTCACGACCCCACACTTGCCAGGAAGGAGCTGTGCTGCTGAGCTATATCCTTGGTGTACCCTAAATTGCCCGTTCTGGTCTGGAACCCTCTTACCTCAGCCTCCTGAGTAGCTTGAATAACAGGTATTACCTTTTCATAGCCCTAGAGGCAAACTGCCCATGAAATTCGGGGGTTAGTTGGTAGAGGGTATTAATGGCACTTGGGGAGGGTCCTCGCCCTCAGCCTTCTATCCTTGTATGCCATATAGTGGTGCACTGGCATCCACCAATAAGGATGTGCCATGTGCCAGGCTCTGCATTAAGCACTTTGCCACGACAGCCTGGTGCTGCAAATCATACTGGCTTATCTCACACATGAGGAAACTGAGGCCTGGCAGGTCAACAGGGACAGGGAGAGATCTGGGGCCTAAGGCGGGCGGGTCTGAATCACCAGCCTGCAGAGGCTGCTGTCTAGCCTGAGAGTTTAATGTTGTCGTCAGGGAAGAAGGACACGGACAGAGAGCAAATCCGTTGGGAAACAGACGAGGCACACAGTGCTCCAACTCCTGGCTGTCCCGCCTCAGCTCCTGGGGTGGGCCCTGATGGAAGCTGTGTGTCCCTCCAGTAATAAAATGACCTGCTGAAATTAACTCCCAACAGTGGCCCTATTGTTCGAAAAGCTGCAGGGCGGGCAGGGCAGAACAATGAGAAAAGTGAGCAAGAATCAACTGCTCAGAGACAGTCTCAGAAGGACCAGTAAATACCTTCCTGCTGCTGTCCCCAAAACAGGGGGAAAACTCTTCAGCTCCTTGTTAAACTCCAATCTTTGCTTCCCAATTATCCAAACTTTTCAACGCCCTTCCCCAGGCCCACCCCTTCGAGGAGCTGGCACTCCTGTGGCAGCCACACCTGGGGAAGGTGAGCAGGGTCCCAGGGAGACAGGAGAGCAGAGCAAGATCCCTGGACCCTCAGGCTTAAGGTCATGTGAGGTCAAGGTCAAAGGAGGTTCCACCCAGCCGTTGGGATTGTTTATAAAACTCAGGTGTCTCTCCGGCTGTAGAGACTGAAGGCTTTCTTAGCCAGGAACTGAAAGTATTCATTATTTAAGGACACCGTGATTTCAAACTCATGCCAACTTTTCTTTCAAATATTCGCAGTTGACTCAACAGCCTCCCAGGTTAACCTCCTGATACTTTTCCTGTGCACTGAAGACTTTTGCTGATTCTTGATTACTCTACTAAAGTGACAGCTCTGCAGAGCAGGGGCCTTTCTGCCCACTTACATAAAGAAGGGCACTGAACGCAGAGAGCTGAAGGCCACACCTGGGTGCCGTTGGCCTGGGCACACTCAGGTTTCAGTCGATTGGTCAAAGGCAGCTCTCGCTAAGGTCACCCTACACACTGCTGTGACCTCAGCCACCAGAGCAGCAGGTCCAGGGGCAAGGAGACCCTCACTTCTTTACAAAGTGATTCTGTGCAAGATTTTTAAGCTTTTCTGGGGAAGAGAAGGCTGCAGAAATCAGCGTCAGACTCATGAAGTTACAAGAAGAGACCCCCTAGACTTACTTCATTTACAGATCGGAAGGGCTGAGGCCATAAAGAAAATCCCAGGACAGCCTACTCTCTGTCTCTGATGGGGCAAGTCTTCCTGGGGTAGGAACAGAGCAAGACAGGAAGCCCTCCAACCCCAAAGGTCATGGCCACCCAGGCCAGCCCCACCCTAGCAGATGTGGCCAGAGGAGGGCTGCTGGGAAACTGCTTCTGCCCAACCTGCCATCCATGTAATCCTTCCCTAGGCACAGGCAAAGTTAAAAGAAATAGCAGCCCCCTAACCAGAGCCCCCTGGCCCTGCACACCCTGAAGCCCGGAGAAGTGCATAGTTACGTCATGGTCGCGCTCCAGCTCCAGGCCCGCCTCCAGGAGGTTGCCCTCATACTCCTCCCTGCGGAACTGCTTGTCATCCTCGTAGTGGTCCATGGGGGGCTCGGGAGAGCCCGTCTCCACCTGGCCTCCCTTCCCAGGCAGAGGCTGGTCCTGCTTGGCGCCTCGAGCCCCGGGGGCGGCGTCATTGTGCAGGACCCGCCTGGGCAGGGCCCTGCTCCCCGAAGGCCTCTTGTGGTGGTACACCAGGATATAGTCCACCTTGCGTTTGCCGTCCCTGAAGTACAGGCCGTACTTGCACTTGGCATCGGGGTCCACAGACAAGGAGTTGAGCAGCTGAGGAGAGATCAGTTTGTTCATGAGGGGCTTTGGACTGCTCTATGCTCTGGCTTCATTCATTCATTCATTCATTCATTCAACAAATATACCCCCCACCCCAGACTCCTACACAGGCATGGGTTCCAAATCCACTGATTCTGTTCCCACGGTTTCAACCAACTTGGGACACAGAGAAGCCCTGTGTCTGTGCTGACCATGAACAGACCTTTTGCTTGTCATTATTCCAAACAACGCAAAATGACAGCTCTGAACATAGCATATCCATTGTTATTATGGGTTGTAAGTTGTCTAGAAATGATTTAAAGTACACAGGAGGATGTGAGTAGATAGTATGCAAACACTACACTATTTTATGGGCTGGGCCTCAGTGTCCACAGGATGTGGTGTCTGGTGCGGTCCTAGAGCCAGTCCCCTGCAGGCACTAAAGGACAGCTAGGCACAGTACGTGCCTCCTATGAGCCAGGTGTGGTCCTAGGCTCTGAGAGCAAGAAAGAAAGCCTTGGCTTCACCAAGCAGATGTTCTAGAAGGTGCTGCTGGCTACTAACCATCCCCAAGAATGCCAAGTCACACAGTGGCCACCCAGTAGGCCTTCTTGTCTTCAGAGCCAGAGCAGGCTAAACGAAGGAACATAGCCAGTTGCCAGCACAGTCTACCATGAGGGCTGCAAAGCACACCTCCTAGGCAGAACTTGTCACACCCATGGAGTGACAACATGCAACACAGAGTCAGGCTCAAGTGTCTGCCAGTGTTAAGTCTCAGTCTGTAGCGCTATCCAGGGAACATCATGTCAAGATGGCCATGGGGCCACTGCCCAGTGGTGTGGCTCTCACTCAAGTTTCGGTTCTCCTAAGGTTGGGCCTGACTAGGGAACTGAAGTGCAAACAGCCCACAGGGGAGAGACCCAAGCATCTGAGTAGGCTGAGGAGGAGAGGCTGAAAGGTCACTGTTGTGGGCAGCTGGCTCTGTCCTGGTGGGGACCCCAGGTGACCTTGAGGAGCACCCCTGGGGCTGGTACTAGGAGGGTGTGGAAGCTGTGTGGCTTTCTGCCTGCTCTGTGCCTCTCCTTGGCATCAGTACCCCTGCACTTCCACCTGTCTCCCACCTTTTCTGGATGCCTTTGGGCGAGGACTTCTTCACAGCCTTTGCCTAAGCCAGACACTCCCTGGAAGGGAGGAACAGGGGGATTGTCTGCAGATGCCCTGGGGTGGACAAGGGGATGGGCAGGGCTCTGGCAGAGTCCATCCTGCCTCAGTTTCCTTCTTTACCTGAAGGGACCTGAGGATGTGAATGAGATTTGGAAGTGCAGAGCAGGGTTTAAAAAGCCAAGCACCCACACAATTGCTATGCAGTACAGCTGTTGCTGAGGACAAAGCCTAATTGCTAGACCTCCCATGGGATTTGACTGATTGTCGAAAGCAGACAGCTCCATCAGCAAGCTGGGCTTTGGTAGTAGGGAAAAATGAACAAAACTAGGCTGAGATGTAGCCTAAGGAGCCACCTCAAACCATCAGCCCTCACACTGGCCTCAGCCCGGCTGACCACCTGACTCCCTCAGGTTCCTGCAGCCAAGTACAGATGCCCCCAGTGCCTGCTCAACCCTGAGTTGCATCTTCAGCTTGGACCAAGGGCTACCTTAGTAGAGCTCCAGGCTGGTGCACTGCCGGTGGCAGGTGCCAAATGCCCAAGGTCAGTGCAGGGGTCCCCTGTGCTTCGCTGCACCTCTGCCAAGCCTCTTCCTATAGGAGCCTTCCCTGACCATAAGCTGTGTGGAGGGTCCAACCTTCCCTTCCGTGTTGAACACAGCCCTGCCTGTTTCCCCTGTGCACAACAGGCCTGGAGGCAAAGGGAGACCCTTTAGCAGGATGAGCCTGTCAGACTCTGTGCCTCACTCTGCAGTGCCACTGGTCACTGCAACCCCTACCCTGGGAAGTCCCATCTCCCACTATGCCCCACTGCTGCCCTCAGCCACCCTTTCCTTCTTGTCTTACTCTGACCTGTCTCCATCCCACCCGAGGCCCAGGCTGCTCAGAGGCAGGAGGCTGAGAAGGGCCTGGGTGGCCCTAAACAGCTCAGGTTCTCCCGACTCCTGCGAGGCTGGCCTTGACCTGAACATGCAGCATCCTGGGAAGTCTACCCTGGTACATGGTCACCTGGAGCCCAGGACAGCCAGAGCTGTGCATTTGGTGGTGAGGAGTGGCAGAAGGACTCCTTGTCTGGAGTGGGGTTTATGGAGGAAGGCTGGGGACTCACAACCCGTCATATATTGAAGGGCAGGGGAGCAGGGTGGGAGGGAGAGACAAAGTGGACACTGCTGCCCATAGTATAGCCACAAGGGCATGAGGGGGAGAAAGGCACTCAAGCAGGGTCAAATGGCCAGATTTGCCTGCCTTTCCTGGGTGTCAATGTCGGTGGCCTGGGATCCTTCCACCTGGTTAGTGGAATGGGGGTTTATAGTTGGCAGCTCAGCATCTCTGGCCCCAGGTGCTACCCCCTGGAGACTGCACGGCCCACAGCCTTGCAGGGTCTGGTTAGTACCTGAAGCCAGCAGGAGGCCAGAACTGGTCCATCATCTATAGTCACTCAGGGTCCAGCCCTTGGTGACCTTCAGGGGACCAGGACATAATGTGGGCACCAATAGCCCCTCTTCCCCTCACTCTCTGTGATCCAGCCTTCTGGTATTCATGAGTTGGATCCCATCTGTATGGGCAGGTGACAGAGGCAGATACAGACCTGGGACAGGGTAGGGAAGGGCTGGCTTTTGAGGACAGCAGCATTTGAACCCCAGTACAGGACCTGAGCCTCATGACTCATATCTACTGTCAACAAGAGGCATGTGTGTGCGTGCAGGAGGAAACTGAGGACCAGCAAGGTGAAGAGGTCCCGAGGCCGTGGAGCAGGTGAGAGGCTGCGCCTAGCCTCAATCCTGTCTGCATAGAGGACACGCCCGTCTCCATGGCACAGCAACTCGGTGCTGCTCTTTCTGCACACGAGCATGCCATCTCCCTGAGTGCTGCCCCTTGGAGGGGGCACCATCATTTGGTCCACTCGACCTGGAGGAAGTGGAGACTGACATGGAGGTGCTCGCCTTAACTGTTCACCGGTGGCTCTGGCTACTAGCAGGCTTGGGTGCTAAAGGACACTGTGAGAGCGTGGGCTTGGTCCTGCTCTGCCACTTCTGAAGCCAGCAGGGGCAGTGGGCAAGGAGGGCCAGTGCACACAGCAGGTAACACAGGACAGAGGGTGACAGCAGCCGGTTCACAGCAGGCAGGGACTGGACGGGTGGGCAGGCAAAGACCAGTAGGAGCCTTGCCTCTGTCTCTTGTATCTCAGCCTAGGAGGCTGGCGGGGGCGGGGGACATCCTCTGAGTCCCAGGCCTGGTCCCCTAGGACAAAGAGCATGGCTCACACCGTATTCTGGGCCAGAGGATTAGCTGGGTAGATGACCGTGCTGTTGGGCTCGGCAGCCGGTCCAGAACGTGCCTGGGCCAGGCGCCTGAGGGCCATCTCGTCACCCTGCTTTTTGTCCCCCGACCAAGGGCAGATGCTCCTGTCCTTGTTATCCCAGGAAGGTCAGAGAAGTGCAGCGTCACAGTGAGCTGGTGCCGAGGTTCAGCTCGCTCCGAAGGCCATGGAAGATGGGCCATGCACAGACACTACGGTGAGGTCCAGTATGGTCAGCGGGGGTACAAGGTGGTCACACCAAGAGACATGCAGCTTCCAGGGCTCCAGGGCTGGCTGCCACCATCCTGGGCACTCATGGTGGTGCTCAGTGCCCTCCCAGTGCTTAGGGACCAGGGTCTCATGATGCTAAGGGAAGGCCAGTTGCAGCTCTTCCCCGCAGCTCCACCCAGAATTCTACACCTTTCCTTAGGGTAGCAGTGGGGGAGGGGCACGTCCTTCTCCTTGCTCCACTCCCTCCTCCCTGATGCCAGGCTCCTTTGTAATCTGGTCTGGTCTTCAGAATCCCACTCGGCCAGTCTACAGGGATCCTCTTCTAGGTGCCCTGAGCCATCCCCTCCAAGTCCTTAACTGCTAGTAGTCCTCCCAAAGGCCAAGCCCGGGACTGGCCTACTGTGTGTCCACCCAGAACCCAACAGCAGGGGCTTCTGCCCCTACCAGAGGCCCCAAGAATGCTCCTGACTGCCGAGGACAAGGCTGAATATTGAACAAGGTGGACAAATGGCCCTTGAAGGAAGGGAAGGAAATTTGGAAGGAATTGGGAAGACAGCCTGGGCTGTGGCCTCACAAGATGAGGTCTATTCAAGCTGAACTATCAGCACCTGCCCTCTGGGGATCTCCAGGAACACACGTGCCCTCAAAACCCAGGTTTTAGGAAGGCAGAAATCCCCCCAGCTTCCTGGCACCAAGGAGCAGGGGCAGCAGAGGCCTGACCCAGGTGACACAGCCTGTATGTGCACCGAGATCAGCTGCGCCTCCAGGCTGGTGCTCAGCACCTCCGTACTTTGTCTTCCCAAGACCTCCCTCATTCTGTGACTTCAAGAGGGCTTCAGGGTGAACTTCAACTGTAGAGCTCACAGCAGGCCCTGGCAGATAGGACACCCTCAAGAGGAGTTTTATGTCACCAGGGATTGAGGCACATGCACGAATAAAGCGCTAGAGGAAGAAGAGAAAGGATAATCCATGGTAGGAGTGGACTGCAAGTGAAAGGTGGCACAGGGCTAAGTCCAGACTTTTAAAAGTGACAAAAGGAGCTGGACGTGGTACTGGGCATAGCAGGAGGCAGCACCAGGACCATATGGGAGTCCCAGGGCTTAGTCCCATGGCCAGGGTGTCCTGTGGTCTTGATCAAGCTGCTTCATCTGCTGAGGTTTCCGTTTTATCAGTCTGGACCAAGCCCACCTGAATAAGCATTACAGTAGCAACCTGGTGATAGAAAATGTGGCTGTTCTCCTGACTTCCTAGGCTGGGAGGCCCATGGTCCATAGGGCAATTCTGAGCTGGGCTGAAGAACAAAGCCTGCAGACGCTGCTGAGGTGCCGGGGGCTCTGCAGGACCCCTGTGTGGAGTCCTGGGCACTATACTTGTGCAGAAAAGGGCCACAAGGCAAAGATGCGGGCACGAAGGGAGGGATGTGGGTTAGACATTCTGCATAACTTTCTGATTCGAAGTTTGTGGACGACTCAGAACACTCTCTTTTCTGTGTCCTCACGGGGTTGGGGGGGGGAACCTCATTATGCTTATGTTGGGGACAAGGGACTTTTCCCTTCCACTTGTGGTTGGCCCTGAATGTGCAGCTGTGGGTGAATGAATACTGCGTGCATGAATGAGTGAGAACTTGGGTCTGGGTACCGCAACAGGCCGTGGCCGTGAGAGCCAAGGACCCAAGCGGAGACCCAGGCCAGTGACTGAGACACGATACCTCACACCACCGAGCCTCAGTTTCCCCTCAGTAGGATGAAGACCTAAATGATTTCAGGGATAGGAACCTGCAAGCACTTTGGAGGTTGAATCCTGGCATTGGGGTGGGGTTGGGGGGCTCCTGGAAAGGATGTTGCCAAGGAAGACAGGAAAACGTTGGAGGAGAGGCGCTCTCTGAGGTCAGATAGGCAGATGCTGGAGGTCCCTTCCCAGCAGGAGCATGCTGGCAGCTCTGTCCCAGCAGCACAGACATTGACAGTGGGGCTGACATCTGGCCCAGATGCCAGGAAGGGGCAGAAGAGGCAGAGGAAACTTGTGCCCATGGCTCAGATGCTGCTGGGACCCAATGGCTTCATTCCACAGCTCCTCCCTGGAGTCGGAGCTCCAGGAACTGAACACACACATCTCCTGAGAAATAGCAGTCATCCTAAGGCAGTGGTGGCGAGACCTCTGGCACATGAGCTACACCAGGCTATTTGTTATCAGTGAAAGCTCTAAAAGGTTTGCCATTACTGTACTAAGGGCTTCTACTATGTTCAATGTTTATGGAAGTGGGAGAAATAAGAGACTACTAATCTATCTATCATCTATCTATCTATCTATCTATCTATCATCCATCTTTTTCCTTCGTTTCTTTTTTCTTCTTTCTTTCTTTCCTTCTTTGCAGTGGAGATTGAATCCAGGCCTTATGTACCGAATGATAACCTATTTTTCATTTGGAGCCAGGGTCCAAATTGGCTGGGCCCAAACTTGCCATCCTCCTGCTTCAGCCTCCAGAGGTGCTGGGCTTACAGGTGTGCAATACCATACCGGATAAAAGACCTGCAAACTTGCTCTTGGTTATGACTTTGAATTTCAGACCTGGGAGGAAGGGCAGTTTGAAACTTCACTTTTAGTCCCCTCCCCCTCATATTTGGATTAAACCACAAGCACTACATATCAATTTATGATTATTGGTTATAATTGGCATTCTATAAGTGGAGTGTTTCCCATGGCAAACAAGCAGGAAGTACCCTTATCTTAGCAATAGGCAGATGCTAGCCAGGCAGGTATTTCTGAGGTGTTGGGGCTTGTTGGAGCACACACATCCCAGGCCACAGATGGTCATCAGTTTGAAGGTAGAAACACTCAGAAATGAAGATGAAAAAAAATATAATGAAATCAACTGCATTAGCATGGCATCTGGATTTTTAAAAATCTTTTCTTCTTATAACTACCTGTCTCTGTATGTCATATTTATTATTTGGTACAGGTCTCCCTACACAGCTCAAACTCCTAGTGATCCTCCTGTTTCAGTCTCCCCAGTGCTGGGATTACAGGCGTACACCATCACTTCCAGTCTTGGTGGCCAGCACACCATACCAGGGGTGCTGGCGTGGCATGTGGCACCAGGGATAGAAAACTTGGGTCCTTGCGCTTGCCAAGCAGGTGCTTAGACTGCCGAGCTATCTCCCCAGCCTGTAAGTCACTTTCATCCTTAAACTTGACTATGACAGGCAGAGGGACCCAGGATGGGAACTGTAGGCAGGAGGGGAGCAGCTTATTCCCCTCCAATGTGTGCATATTTGACATACTTATGTACATATTTATATAGAAACAGGAGGAACTTTCTTTTTTCTTTTGCAATATAAGGGATTGAATCCAATATTCGCATTGAGCTATATCCCCAATCTGTAATTTTTTTTTTGAGACAAAGTTTTGCTAAATTGGTAAATTGCCAGTTTGGGTTGGAACTTGGGATCCTCTTGCTTCAGTCTTCCAAAACGCAAAGATTATAAGCATGTGGCACATGCCCAGCTTGGGATGGGAAATGTTTGCAGCCCATACCCAGCGGCCTCTGGGGTACACAACCATCTTTGTTGAGTAACTCAATAATCACTGAGCAACAACTGCTGGCCTGAGTGTGCTGGGGATGCCCTGGGAGGCTCCTGTCATCCTGCCTGCCCAACACCCACGGGCCCTAGGCCCCAGAGCTGCTGCTTCCTGCCATCTGCGGCTGTCACTGGCAGCATGTGGCTCGGTAACCTCTCCTTCCTGCAGGCAGCACCCTGGCCTATGGCCCCCCAGACCTACAAAAAAAAAAGCTCAGTGGAGATAAAGCTGTGTGCAAAGTAAGAGTCAGCGGTCACACCTGGGTTTATCCGCATTTGTCTGGATGATGAAGACCTTGAACACGGGGCTGAGCCACCTCTTTGGGGATGTGTGGCCTCCCCTGGCTTTGGGGAGACATGGTTGTTGAGTCTGGCCCAGCCCTGGGTTTCTGATCTGCACTGCCAGGTCTGAAGGCTGTTTTTTGGGAGCTCCCTTTCTTAACTGACACTCAGGGGACTGCCAAGTCTAAGGGGGTTACTTCTATCTTCCCATCATCTTGTGCTTCTTAACTGGATAGAGTCCCCATCTCTCAGTTCCCCATGGGAATGACCAGCTCCTTCTTCCCCACAGTGTCCCCACTGTCATGCAGGCTTTCCTTGCCACCTGGCTGGGGCCCTCCCTAGCTGTCCTCCTGGCAGCCAGCCGCCCCATCTGGGCCTCAATTTCCTCCTCCATAATAGCTCCTACCCTACACAGTTGTTAGTTAAACAAGCTAAGACACAGTGCTGGCCCAGTGCTATGGAATTGTCCCTTGTCACTGTCCTAAGTAACATTCCATCACCACTGTGTAAGCCTGGAAGGGCAGAGCCCTCCCTGTCTCCTTTGTGGGTGCTGGGGTGGGGGTGGGGAGCATGGCCTGACATACAGCTCTGTCCTAATGCGACCCCTGAGTTCTAAAACCAATCCTTTGCATCACAGGCACAGGCAGGCTCCGCCCACACCTGTTCTCCCGCCCCCTGCAGTTCTGCACAAGCTCAATTCCTGGTCAACCCCCAGCAGAGATCCCAAGAGTACAAGATCTGACTAAAGCCAGAGCCCCTAGGAGCTCTGCAGCGGCCCCTGTAGCCCTCTGAGTAGCAGTCGTCCTCCCCCACTCCCTCCTCACACACCTCCCGGCCCCCAGCTCTCCAGCCCCAAGGCTAGGCACCACCCCTCATCTCAGAGCAGCCACGAGGGGGGCTGGAAAGGCCTGGGGAAGGGCCTTCAAGGGGGCTCCAGAGGAAAGAGAGGAAGGGCAGGACAGGCAGGAAGGGAATTTAGCTCTAAGGTCTTGGTACCAGTCCTAGTTTTGAAAGCTAGCACCCCCACCACGCCAGCCACGACTCTCTCCTCTCAGGGCAAACTTTGTCCTTAAGGCAAACTCCTCCTGGGCGAATTCTATCTCCACTGATCTCTTGATGGACTAGGTCCGGCCCCCAAGGAAAGTGGTAGTTATGGAGGATCTCAGGAGGGGGGTTCCCCCCAATCCCGAGACTGGTTCCACTCCAGCGCCCACTCCTCAGCCCCCACCCCCACCGCGACTCGCGGGCGCGCAGCAGGAAACCGAGATCAGCTCTAAAGGCAATCTCGATCTACCAGCGCCCACAACTGCCCCCGTTGAGCTCCGTTGCGAGTGGACCTGCGCCCCAGGCAGGACGCACGCCCTGCCAGGTGGGGTCGGGGCTGGATTCTCACTGGGTGGCAGCGTGGTGGGGCCTGGCGGCTGCCTGTGACCCTTTCCCACTGTAGCGGCCAACGCCCTTGATCCCTCACCCCATCCAGCTGCCCTACCAGGAAGCCCCGAACGTGGGCCTGGGTGCCAGAGACCCGCCTGGGACCCAGCAGTGCGCCCTCGCTTGGGAACCCGGATTGGGCACAGACAGGCGCGGGGCGCTGTTTTGCGGGGTGGGCGCCGTGCCCCTGGCGCCTGGAGTCCGGATTGGGCGCACGCTGGTGGCCTGGCCCCGCGGGCTGCAACCGGGTCGCACGTGCGCGGGTGGGCGCCCATGGAGGCCACGCCGCCGCCGGATCCCGCCCTCCCGGCGCGGCACAGGTGCGCGGCCTCCCTGTACTCACCGTGCCTTCTGACGGCAGGTAACCAATGTCTTCGATGGCGCAGATGTTAATGATGTGAACGCTGCGGTCCTCGGCCGGGAGCGTCGAGTACTTCTCGTGGACCCTCATCTTGGCCGCCTGTTCGCGGGGACCGCCGGGCGGCGCGCCCTCCCCATCCACGGCCCCGGCGGCCTCTGCAAGCGGAGACGGCAGCGTTCGCCGCGCGCTCGCTGGGAGCCCGGCCTTCCCGCGCCCTGGCCCGCAGGGGACGTGGCCTCCTCCCGCTCCACCCGCCCGCCCACCGCTCTCGGCCCGCCCGGCCCGAGCACCGTGCGGGTGCGCTCGACTCTCCCCCGGGGCCGACCGCGCCTCCACCTGGCTGCGAATCCCGAGGGCAGCCCGTGAGCCTGGTCGGGAACTTGGACGCGGGCCTGCCTCCTTTCCTTAAAGATATAAGCGCACTCCGCCCGCTTAAGGCAGGGGCGGCGGCCACGCGGGTCAGATTTTCCGTAGAAATTTAAACACAGGAAGAAAGTATTTCATTCCTGCGGCCCCTCCAAGTTTTATTTTTATCCGGGGTAAGTGCCCCTTAGGGTTTTTGCTGAGGGAGGAAAGGGTTTTTACAGTAGGGGGGAAACTTCCAGTGCCCCCCCAATAAGTGTCAGAGCTAGCTAGGATTTGAGGTTCACCTAGGGAAGGGGGAGAAGGTTCCACATAAGTCAAGAAGGTTCTTATTGCCCTGTTAGCCTCTACCCCTGGCACACTCCTGCCTGCATCCCCCATCTACTCAGTCCCTGGCCACTCTTATCTCTCTGGGGCACCTGATGTGTTTGTGGCCCCACTTCATTTGGGAGCTTTCTGTGCTGGGTGGCCAGGAAAGTGCAGTCCCTTCTACAGAGACTACACGTGTATTATCTCTCAGCAAACCCGAACAACACTGCTCCTTTTGCAGTGTGCCTGAGGTGGAAAGAATCTTAGGCCCAGAAGCAGTTTCTCAGCCGCCAGGCAGGGTCATGGCTTTTGCAGAATTGAGTAACCTCTACTGTATCCCAGAGGGGACGTGGCTTTGATCCCCTCAGCCCAGGACAGGAGTAGGGCCATGTGCACACAATAGGTATTCCTCAGGTCTTCAAGCCTCCCCCGCCCAAAGGAGGAGGCGACTGGTCTTGGGGCAGCCAGGCTCAGGCTGAGCCCCAGGGGCCACACACTGGCAACCCTACCCATGAGAACACAGTCTTGCTCTGCTTCTCAACATCCTGTTAGTTCCTGGTATGCTTCAGATCTGTCTCTTACAGGAAACCATCCTGGGTTCCCCAAGCAACTGGACCCCTTTTTCATTATCCAGAGACCCACAGGAACCCAACTCCTGCACCCTCAATAATTGCTGGTCAAATGGCCATTTAGGAGCACTCAAGGCTTAGAGAAGTTGACTATAAAATTGCCTGCACGGTTCCCAGGGTAGAACTGGGAGATTGGTTGGGGTAGGGGCCAGGGGTATGTCTAGCTGTAACTCTGGCTGTGGTGCTCTCTGACCTCATAGCTCTTCTTCAACCTCTTCATGCTCACAGAGCCCTGTTCTTCTCAAGTGAGTCCTGAACTTGCAGCCCTGGGACTGCAAGGCATGCTTGTCCATGGTGGCCGCTGCTCCTACTATTACCCTGTCATTCTCAGCTCCTCTCCTCTCCTGCCAAGGAAGCTGCCTCATGTGGGCACAAGTTGGGGAATCCGGTGAACTTGGTGGGTGCAGGGAGGCTGCTTGGTTTGCCAGCTGGCTGTGCCAATGGGCACAGGTGGCCTAACTAAGGGACCCATTGCCTGCACTGTGCACAGCAAGGACAGGATTGGAGAAATGCCCTGAACTGCCCACATACCTGCCGGAAATATCCTCCATGCTCTCTGCCATGCCATGCCAAAGAAACTGGTCCCTAAGAACTCAAGCCTTTAGGTCTAGGAAGATCTCTCTCTCTCTCTCTCTCTCTCTCTCTCTCTCTCTCTCTCTCACACACACACACACAGGGAGGGAGCATTATGTAACTTTATCCTTCTTTCCTCGTTAGTAAGCACCTGGCATTGTGTAACCCTAATATTCCATCTTACTAAATGTATGGTCATACGGCAAAGAATCTTCCTGAGTGCTCTGAGGTGTCATTAATAAAAAGAATAAAGATATAACTGCTCAGGGCTGAGGGTGTGGTTCAGTGGCAGAGTACTCCCCTAGCATGTTTGAGGGTTCAAGCCAAACCCTGTTAAAAAAAAAAAAAGTTATGCATGTATGTGTGCGTGCATGCACATAATCGATTCTGGATATGTTCATTTTACCAAATGTTTGGGAAGTGACATTGGTCTATTGCTTTGACAGGGCTCTGACTGGCATGATCCACATAGCTTCAGTCCCCAGACCCCTGGGGGCTGCAGGTGGGAGACAATCTCCTACATATGGTGACAGTTCCCTTCCTTCTTCCCAGACAGGGCTATGTTTAACCTCTTGTTTCTGTAATTCATGTCCCTACCAAGTTTGATATTTACATGTCTGTAAGACATGTCTTCTGTCCCTTGGCCAGGAAATTTCCTCTTTTTTACTTCTATCCCCCAGTTGTGCTCCCCCACCCCACCCCCAAGTCACTCTAAGTGGACAGGGTAACAATGCTTCTGCAGATATGGCCAGGAAAGGCAGGTTGCCCTCTTGTCAGCAAGGGCTAGAAAGGGCCACTTCTGTTCCTGGGGCACCTGTCGTAGGTCTTACGATTTCAGAGATTAACAAAAAGTAAATTTAGTTTCTCTAAATCCGGAAAGGAGAAGGACATTCCTCCAAGTTGAGCTGTCTCCCAAGTCAGGACTGGTTTCCAAGGTCTCTTTTGTTCTGAGGTGAGTCACCAGCCAGCTCACTGCCCCTGTGTCTTTCTGGGCACTGTTCTTGGGCTCTGTCCTCAGAGTCACTGGCTGCTTATGGGATGGCCTTTCCATAAACTATGGCATTCACCCTACATTTTCTGCAGCTGGACTCTGTAATTTTCATCCCTACTAACCAAAAGGGACAGATTAATTTCCTGTGTATGACTTAGTGAAAAAAAAAATCAGTCTAGGCCAAGATGTCTGCCCAGTGCTAAAGGCAGTACAATCCTGGTCCAGCTTGGCCCCGGGAGTCACCTACACTGTCTGACAGGTTCCAGGGCCAACCCAGGTGAGGTAGAGCCACTGCACTCCTGAATCCAGGGTCCACTAGTTGATGAAGAACATCACCACATGCCCATGGCCCAGGTCAATGGGGAGGAAAACTATGACCAAAAGTCCAAGAAGACTCAGCTCGTTGAAGCAGCCCGACATGCTCTGTGCCTGCAGACCCCACATAGTGATGAAAAGAGGAGATAAAATACGGCTAACTTCCGCCTCACGTGGACTCTGGAAGAAGCTGTGAAAGGAAGCAGTTCAGGAAGCACCATGCTGCTTCTGCCCAGGAATAGCCAGCCACGGAACACGACCCCCGCATCATCTTCCACAAGCTCCGAAAAGCCAGGAGCCTGCGATTGGCCCCGTACCCATCTTCAAGGGTGGCCATTTCCCCCACATCCCCGTGCCCCTACCTGACTGACCTTGCAGTTTCCTGGCCATGAGGTGGATGAGCACTGAGTGCTGGGAGAATAAGTACTGGTGGACATTGGTGACAGAGACATTGTTACGGGAGCTACTGCAGCCTTTACACCATCAGGGCCCCGTGATGAAGACAAAGCAGGACATGCACAAGACGGCTGAGGCCACCCAGGCCCTGCCCCACTGCTGCTGCTGGTACAGGGAAAGGAGAAGTGCTGGGAGGAGCCCAAGGCTCCCTCCCCATGGAAAAGTACCTGCGTGTTAGGGTGTAGTTCCTTTTTGAGAATGATAGGATGGTATGCTTGTTGTCCACTAACCCTTCCCTCCTGGGGCTGGAACTGGCTTTCTGTGCTCTGTCTCCTTGTAAAGAGAAAATACTGACGTGGGAATATCCTCTAAGAAACTCAGTGCCCTTTGGCTTCTTTTTCCTCGGCTGAAGATAGACCTCTGGATGTAAAAGGGACAATCTATAGTATTAGAACATTCATTAGAAAATCCTCTCCCTGATACGGAGGTATCATTGATTAAAACTCATGGAGGAAAAAAATTCTAAGTCAGATGTGATAGTGCACACCTATAATCCTAACACTCTGGGAAGTTGAGGCAGGAGAGTTGCAAGTTCAAGCCTAGCCCGAGCAATTTAGGAACTTAGTGAGATTCTGTCTCGAAATAAATGAAAAAGAATCAGGGGTTATAGCTCGGTGACAGGGCGCTGGGTTCAATCTCTGGTACCACAAACAAATAAGCAAAATAAAACAAAACAACAACAAAACAGCCTCTTTTCGTCTAAATGGTGCATTTTATCTCGGGAAGTTCTGGCCCTCGCTGTTGACCCCATGTTGCTGTTTGGATTGTTTGAGGCCATGTACTGACAGATACCTGTACCACTGCGGACACTTTGGTAGTCCCTAGGGGTATAAAGTGACAAGGGGTCATTCAGGGGATGAGACTGCCTTCTAAGCGGCTTTTCACAGGCAACTCTCCCAAGGACCTTTTCACCTTCTCCCTTTGCCCTGCCCACAGGGAAGGTCCACCTGCCTCAGGACACATATCTGCACTCACCTAGCTATCTGTGACCCCAGAAGTTGAACAGACCAAACTTTACAAAATGAGATAGAAAGAGCTGCTCTGAATGACGGGATCCAGAGCCTGGTGATCATGCTCATGAACTCAAACAAGAATCCAGCTCCCTGTTAACCGGCTATCAGGTCTTAGCATGCCTCAGTTTCCTCTTTCGTAAAATGAGTCATATAGGGCCTCACTTTTGGGGGGGCTGTGGGACTGAATGGGACCATGCATGTTCAGCCCCTACTCTGACAAGTCCAGGGTTAGACACTGTTCCAGGAATGATCTCTCCCAGTAGGGTGCTCTAGGATGCCCTCTCTGCCTCAGCACCCTTGACTTTCAGGCTGGGAACATTCTTTGACAAACGGCCTATTTGTGTAGTGTGATTGTTCAGTCGGCTCCTTGGTGATCTTTACCCAGTAGGTGCTGGGTAGCACTTTCTCCCCCAGCCAGTGTCACCGGAGTTTGTCAGATGTCTTCTGGGGATGAACTGCCCCCCTCCCCCTAATTGGGAATGGCCCTGGCTCATAGAAGATCTAGG